CGGCTCCCCGAGGTGCCAGGGGTGCCCCCGGGGATGCTCACCCGCCACCTGCAGCGTCAGGGCGGCGCTGGCGTAGTCGCGCACGCGCACGAAGCAGGTGAAGCTGCCCTCGTCGGCCACGCGCACGCGGCGCAGCAGCAGGGACGCGTTGCCCAGGGCCAGCTGGTCGTAGAAGAGCGCCGTGCGGTTGGCGAAGGCCCGGCCCTGGTCCTGCAGGAGGTCGCGGCCCCCGGAGAAGCCGTGCACCAGGCGCTTGGTGTCCGTCAGCTGCCAGATCAGGCTCAGCTCGCCCACGCTGAAGTTGGCCTCGGGGGGGAAGGAGCAGAGCAAGGTGGCATCCTGGCCAAACAGGGCCACCACGGGTTCCTCCGGGACGCGGATCTCCATGGCACCTGCGGGAGGGCGCGGGGACGCGTTGGCGTGAGGAGCACCTCAGCTGGATTCCCCAGCTGGATGGGTCTGAGAAAATCTAGAGAATCCCTCCCTCCTGCCCGTGGCACAGACACGTGGGCAGGTGGCATCTCGGGACTGTCCCCAGCCATGCCACCCTGATGAAACGGGGACAGTCCCACCTCCGGCACCAAACTGGGGCACCTGCAGCTGCCAGGAGCTGCCAGGGGCACCCAAACATGGATAACATCCAAGAAAAGCAGGGGAACCCATGGAAGAGACATGTGGGCAGGTGGCACCTCAGGATTGTCCCCGGCCATGCCACCCTGATGGAAGGGGGACAGTCCCACATCTGGAACCAAACTGGGGCACCTTTGGCTGCCAGGAGGTGCCGAGGGACATGTGGGCAGGTGGCATCAGAACTGTTCCCAGCCATGCCACCCTGCTGGAAGTGGGACAATCCCAGACAAACCAGGGGCACCTGCAGCTGCCAGGAGCACCCAAACCTGGATAACATCCAAGAAAAGCAGGGGATGCCCATGGGAGGGACACGTGGGCAGGTGGCACCTCAGGACTGTCCCCGGCCATGCCACCCTGATGGAAGGGGGACAGTCCCACATCTGGAACCAAACTGGGGCACCTGCAGCTGCCAGGAGCTGCCAGGGGCATCCAAACATG